ACCCACTGACTCCGTCTCACCCACTGACTGTGTCTTACCCACTGACTCTGTCTCACCCACTGACTCCGTCTCACCCACTGACTGTGTCTCACCCACTGTCTCTGTCTCACCCACTGACTGTCTTCCCACTGACTCTGTCTTACCCACTGTCTCTTACCCACTGTCTCTGTCTTACCCACTGTCTCTTACCCACTGACTCTGTCTCACCCACTGACTGTGTCTTACCCACTGACTCCGTCTTACCCACTGACTCTGTCTCACCCACTGACTGTGTCTCACACACTGACTGTGTCTCACCCACTGACTCCGTCTCACCCACTGACTGTGTCTCACCCACTGACTGTGTCTCACCCACTGTCTCTGTCTCCCCACTGGCTCTGTCTCACCCAACAGTGGAGTGTTTGGCTGTGAATGCTATGCTCAGGTTTGAATGCTCAAGCAAAGCTAGCCAATGAGCAGGACATAGAGAAACGTTTTCATTACTCTTTATATTTTATGGCCTGGTTGGCAAAGGCAGAGTTATCATAGTAAGAAGACCCAGCGCTCGGCASGCTCTTGGTTAATTCACACTTAACAGCATACCTCGGATATCTTTCATATTTTATTTTTACCCTACAGTCYTGGGGACTGAACCCAGGACCTTGTGCATGCTAAGCACTCCCACAGTGAGCTACGCCCCATTGGTCCAGTGTCACACCTGACACATAACAGATATTCCTGAGTTAAATAAGTTAATAAATATCGCACCAAAGATAACAGTAATAACATCAACTCCCAGCTAATGGCAGCCACAATATACCAAGTACTTTCTATGAGCACCTCAGGTAGTTTTTCCATTCATAAGTTAGGAAAATTACATGACAGATGTTATGTCCACATTTTTCACATAAGAAAWTTAAGTCAGAGAAAAATTAGGTAATTTTACCAAAATTACACAGCAGGCTATGGATGAGCCAGGGTTAGATTAYAAGCTGAGGGGCATTTTCTTTCCTCCAAGCCACATGATACATCATCCCAAAACAAGTGTTTCTCATACCTGTGTGTATCCTTATATGTCGCGTTAGCTGACTTGGCTTTTGAAATGTCTTTCCGCAGTGTGGACATGAATATGTGAATCCACTCCTGTCAACATTCCGGTTATAAGACCTGGTTCCAGACACCCTAGTGTGACAGAGGAAGGTGCTCTTTAGATTATCTCCTTTTGTTTTTTTACACATTTTTTTTTTTTTTTTTTTTTAGAGAGAGAGAGAGGAGAGAGAGAATTTTAATATTTATTTTTCATTTTTTGGCAGACACAACATCTTTGTTGGTATGTGGTGCTGAGGATCGAATCCGGGCCGCACGCATGCCAGGCAAGCGCGCTACCGCTGAGCCACATCCCCAGCCCAGATTATCTCCTTTACATTACAGGTTCACAGTGAAAACACTTGCCAGGCGGCCAGCGGGCGGGTCATGCAAACAGGTTCTAGAGGTCAGTCGTGCCCACACACACCCTAGTTTTGTGAATTCAGTATCATGAACTTCATTTTTTTCTATTTTCTATTGAAAAGAGAAACTTGGTTTTTCCAGGTCTGGACGCTGCAGTTGGCAGGCACGGGCTCTGCCTGCCATGGTCAAATATGGAGACACTGGCAGGTATGATTTCCATGGGGACACTAACTGCACGCCGCCTCCTGCAGTCTGTTTGCTTTCCTAGTGTATGGACTCTGATGATTTCCACCTGGAACTCCCACAACCTGGCCACCCCTCTGAACTCCAGCCCTGGACGGTGGCTCTGTTGGCCTAGCCTCGTGACTGCTAGCCAGAAGCTCCAGCCTGACCCATCCAACAAARTACTCTGATTCTTTCCAACCTGCCCCTTTCCACATCAGGACCCAGAGGCTCCTAAGTGCACAGATTTGAAACTCAGAAGTCACAATGGATCCTTCAAGACCCTCTCCAAGTCACTGGCTTTATTATGAAACACCCCTCTCAACTTCCAGCCACCTTCTCATCACAGACAGCCCTGTCCTTTCCCAGTGGCCTGGTCAGCCTTGGCCTGTGGGTAAAGTCTTCTAAGGGCCACCCTCAGGGATGAGAACCCTGACTCCTGGGACAGTGACCTCCCTCACACCCCCATGCCTGCCCTCTGCAGGGGCACGCACCACCCTGGCCGCCTTCCTGCTCTCAACCCAGGAAGCTCAGGCTAGGATTCTGCACGCCCTCCCGGCAGGCTGGCTGCCCTTTGTGTGGTCCTGCCCGTTCCTTCAAAAACCCTCCTTAGGAGACCCGGGTCAAAGAGCTGCCTCACTCTGATCAGGCGCTCACCTTGACTGACCCCTTCACATGGTCCTACTAAAGGACAGCTCCCTGAGGACACAGCCTCAGCTGCCTGGTTCATCCCTCAATCTGCAACGACCTAGAAGCTAGGGCTACCTAGGTGTAATTACCACCTGGACATCCCCAGTCACCTCCAAAACCTTTAGAAGAAACATCAAAAACACCAATGCTAAGCCTCATCTGAGTAACAAGCTGATAGTAGCGGATGCATCGTAAAAGCAGCAGATCAGCCCACAAATGCAGAGCCGGACCTGTTCTACAGCTTTTACACCATGGCTGGCACCTCCCACTGACCTTCCCAGTGACCTGCACTACCGTGGACCTGAACCAGGTGTGCGGAGCAGTGGTCTGGTGCCACACCGTCATGTGGTCTCACTTGGGGGACAGTATGTACTTCTCATSCATCATGGCAAAGAAGGCCAGGTTCAGAATTCTACCAAGCTCAAAGGACAGTCCATACCTAACTTTATAGTGAGTCTTCACATGGTCCTTCAGCTCTGCTGAGGTCTCGAACTCCTCCTTGCAGGACTTGCAGGTGTGGCTACGGGTGTTCGCCAGCTCCCGCCGGTGCTCTTCCAGGTGGATGGCCAGCTGGCTCTGCAGCGTGAACTCATCCCCACACTCCGAGCAGATGAGGTTCTGGAAGAAGAAATGCAGCTGTGAGCGGGACAGACACTGCCAAGCCACTGCTCCCTAAAAGACCTGGCACCTGAACAGTCAATAGATACACATTCTTCCCTCCTAGCAAACATTATTTTCACATCTCAAAAAATAACCACTTTCCAGATTTGAATGGATAAAAATCATCTTTACTGGAAGAGAAAGACTAGAAAAGGATGGGGAAACAACGCAATTTTTAAGACAAATGAACTCTATACCCATGTGGCTTCAACAGCTAGCATTGGAGSCACCTATTCCCTAAACCTCGAAGGAACAGAATGACTTCAACCTGCAACAGGGCCAGGAGAGAATTCAAGGACAGACTGTGCTTTAGCATACCACTTAAACAGAACAAAGACTCAGGAGTTTCAAATGGAGACGCTACATCCTCTGTTCAGTGTGATCTACGGGCACAGTTGATCTTGAATYGCCCTGCGTGTGTGCCAGGAAACGGGCTGAAACACAGGACAGCACAGACCCACCGCAAAAAAACAAAAAAGACTAAGGATCTGAACTGACCACCAGGCACAGTGGTGTGCACTGTGATCCAGCTTCTGGGGAGTCTGAGGCAGGAGATCACAAGTTCAAGGCCAGTCTGGGCAATTTAGCAAGACGTTGCTCAAAACATTTTTTTAAAGGGCTGGGTATGGGGCATAGAGGTAGAATGTTCCTGAGTTCAACCCCTCATACCAAAAAGAAAAACACTGAGTTAACTGTATTTGGGTAATCTTTAGTAATGCACCTCACCTGCTGGGGGATTGCTGGTGCTATTGCTACTGCTGCTCCATTGCAGCTAGCTGGCACTGGCCCACACAAGCTGCAGGTAAGTCCACCTTCCCTGCAGGGTGCTGGGGACAGGCTGCAGTAGCCTGGGAGACCATGACAAAACCCACTCTGCTGAGATCGTCGCAGAAGATGCACTGTGGTACAAAGCCAGTGCTCGCAGCCACGCCAGTGGCCCTCAGCCGGGCACAGGCTCCAGTCATGTACCCACATGCAGTTCCATAATATATCACTTCCTTAAATGATTTATGCTAGTATTTATAGTCCCTCCAAACAAACTGTCCAAACATGAAAAAGTGAGTTTAATCTGTCAATGAACATAAGTGGTTACTTCCAAATTAAAGGCTGTAGCTCAGAGGCAGAGTGCTTGCCCAGCAATGTGTGAGGCACTGGGTTCAATCCTTAGCACCACATACAAATACAATAATGGCATTTCAGCCATCTACAACTACAAAAAAATTTTTTTGAAATTGCACTTCTCTCCATTCAAATTTCTTCTAATTACTGTGGATATCGTTTTGTAAATGTATGCAAACCTTGTTACAATCAGGCCATTGTAAATGATCCTACCTAGAATTATGCTTCAGGAAATGACAAGGATGAATAAAATACTTTGAGCAGTCCAACCATGATTTAAACTTAAATGACTTTAAATTAGCATTATTATATAATAATTGAAGAAAATAATTAATTACTAGGTTGTTAGTGATGTGCTGATAATAAAGAAAATTTACTCTAGGATCCTGCCAAAAAGGAAGCAATTATCTATATCTTCCCTTACTGCATCTCTACAGAAAAGGCCTGCCCTCTTCATCCCTGCATGCTGGGCAGAAGGAAATGCTCGTCCTCGTAACAAAGATCCCCCCACGTCTCTCTTTCAAAGTACAAAGCTGAACTTGACCCTCACATCTACCCTCCGGCCTTACTCTCTCACRCTCTGCTCACATCCGTCCTCTTCACTAGCTGCTGTACCAAAGGACCAGGTTACATATCTCAGGGACTGTCTCCATGGATACTGTCAGATGTTCCTCAGAAGCATCTGATGACTCCACAGAGCAGAGCAGAGCAGACAGTGCTGGGGAGGAAGGCGAGCACAGGGAGAGTGAGGAGGCAACAGAGCCAGTCATGTTTTTATGTATGTGCAAACACACCACAAGTCCATTCTGTATTGTGAAAATGCTGGCGTGTGCCCGATTCACTGGGCTGGAAAGCAGGGCTGAGCTTCCCTGGGTCAGAGCCAAGATGGGCCATCACTGTCCCTCTGCTCTCCACCCAGTATTCCGGAGGAGCCAGGACCTTCCTCCAGCTCTGCACTTGGGCCAACCTGAGGAAGTCCCAGGCAGGAGAACCAAAACGCATGCACAGCACAGGGACCACAGCCCTCACTTCGAGATATTGTCCGCACTAGAGAAAACACCAAACTCCCTAGAAACAGACTGTCGAGGTAACAGTGATGATGCTGAGTGGCCAGCAGGTCACCAGGGCAAATGTACAGCATCCAAATCAACCTCAGCCTGCTCAAGATGGGCATCTGTAAGGAGCCAGAGCATACAATCTGCACAGGTCGCGCTCCCTGCCGCCCAGGCCCCTGGCTGGGCAGCCACCTTCACCCACCTGAGCCCCAGGGCCTCCCCTTTCTAGGCTGCCCTGCAAGCCCCTGGGCCACACTGCCCTTCCCTGCCCAGCTTTCCCAGCAGCCATTCTCGCTCTCCAGAAGCACCCACCTCTGGACTTCAGATGGTACCCGCAGCCCGAGACCCAAGATCAGAACACAGAAAGCTGCCCTCGTGGCATCCTGGGCCCTCTCCAYGTCACTGTTCACTGCAGCGCTGCCCAGACAGCACAGGTGTTGTACAGCCCCCAGGAGCAGGTGTGTCTGAGTGYGCTATGCGCAGGAGCCTGTGGCTCCCCACACCCCCTGCAGCCCCTTACAGGAAGTGATGACTCAGTAAACACTGAACCTCAACAATAAAGTGCCTTTCAGGAAATCATTCCTAAGTGACTGGAGCTGTGCTCACTCTTTTGGCTGAGATTTATTTTGATAGACTACTGACCACTCTGGATTTCAGACTACTCCTTTCAATAGGGCTCTATGGAAACATCAGCCTACGGTGTTCTAAGAGTGTAGCACCTACAGCTAAAAGGTGAACCATGTTCCTAAGAACATATGTTCAGGTATAGTAAGAAAAGCTATTTTAAGTCAACTTTCTGAGGTAGACCACACGCAAAACCTGCCCCTTTTATGAGTAGCTTTCACTGCTGCACTGGATCCCTTCTGTGGTCTGTGCTGACCCCAGGAAGCACTCAGAGTGCCACTCCCAGAGCTTCCAGGCACAGCCCCCAKACAACAGCAAAAGGAACCCCAGCAAATGGAGTGGACAGGAAGGACTGCAAGCCCCGCTTTGGATGAAATCACATCAAATTTTGAAAAGCATCTCCAAARAACACAGAGCATGAAAGTTCTGCTCTTGGCCTGTGCAGCCACACTGGGCTAAGAGAAGTGCAGCTGCCCACCCAAGCTCTACCTCATCACCTGCACATGGCTGGGATGCAGCTCAGGGGTAAAGCACTTGCCTAGGACATAAGAGGCCCTGGGTTCCACCTCCAGCATCACACACACACACACAAAGAGTTGATGGCTCCACCTACAGTAATGACCGAATCAGAAAATCAGACACTCATCAGTGACCTGCGGATTAACTGAGATTATTTAAAAATAACTATTAGAATTTGGAAATCTGTATAAAACTAGTTCTAGTTCATGGGACACTAGTTCTAGTTCATGGGAAGGCAGTACTAAGAGGAAAGTTCATTGCATGGAGTTCATCCTTACAAGAAGAAAAAGTCAACAAACAAATGACCTCACACTACATCTCAAAGCCCTAGAAAAAGAAGAACAAATCCACACCAAAAGCAGTAGAAGACAGGAACTAATTAAAATCAGAGCTGAAATCAATGAAATTGAAACAAAAGAAACAATTGAAAATTTTGGGAAAAAAAGTTGGTTCTTGGAAAAAAAAATAAATAAAATTGATAAACTCTTAGCCATGCTAACGAAGAGGAGAGAAAACTCAAATTACTAACATCCGTGATGAAAAAGGAACTACATGACCGACACTACAGAAATAGACAACAATTAGAAATCATTGTGAAAACTTGTACTCCAATAAAATAAAAATATTGAAGGCAGACAAATTTCTAGAGTCATATGATTTGCCCAAACTGAATCAGGAAGATATACACAAGTTAACAGATCAATTTCAAGCAATGAAACAGAAGATGCCATCAGAAGCCTACCAACCAAGAAAAGCCCAGGACCTGATGGATACACAGCCGAGTTCTACAAGACCCTTAAAGAATAACTAATACTAACACTCCTCAAATTATTTCACGAAATATAAAAAGAGGCAGCACTTCCAAACTCAATCTATAAGACCAATGTCACYCTGATTCCAAAACCAGGCAAAGACACATCAAAGAAAGAAAACTTCAGATCGATGTCTCTAATGAATATAGATGCAAAAATTCTCAATAAAATTCTGGCAAATCAAATACAAAAACATATCAAAAAGATCATGCAACACGATCAAGTGGGGTTCATCCCAGGGACGCAAAGTCATCTCAGCATACGGAAATCAATAAATGTAATTCACCACATCAATAGACTTAAAGATAAGAATCAAATGATCATCTCAACAGATGCAGAAAAAGCATCCGACAAATACAGCACTCTGACATGTTCAAAACACTAGAAAAACTAGGGCCAATAGGAACATATCTCAACATTGTAAAAGCCGTCTATACTAAGCCCCAGGCCAACATCATTCTAAATGGAGAAGATTTGAAGGCATTCCCTCTAAAAACTGGAACAAGACAGGGATGCCCTCTTTCACCACTTCTATTTAACATAGTTCTTGAAACTCTAGCCAGAGAAATTAGACAAAAGAAACTAAAGGGATATGGATAGGAAAAGAAGAACTCAAGTTATCATTATTTGCCAACAATATGATTCTATGCCTAGAAGACCCAAAAAATTCCACCAGAAAACTTCTCGAACTAATAAATGAATTCAGCAAAGTAGAGGATATAAAATCAATATCCATAAATCAGAGGCATTTCCGAACATCAGTGACAAATCCTTTGAAAGAGAAACTAGGAAAACTACCCCACTTATAATAGCCTCAAAATAAATAAATAAATAAATAAATAAAATACTTGGATTCAACTTAATGAAAGAGATGAAAGACCTCTACAATGAAAACTACAACACACTAAAGAAAGAAATTAAAGAAGACCTTAGAAGATGGAAAGATGTCTCTTGTTCTTGGACAGGCAGAATTAATATTGTCAAAATGACCATACTACCAAAAGCATTACACAGATTTAGTGCAATTCCAATCAAATTCCCAATGACATTCCTCATAGAAATAGAAAAAGCAGTCATGAAATACATCTGGAAAAATAAGGGTCCCATATAGCTAAAGCAATCTTTAGCAAAAAGAGTGAAGCAGGTGGCATCACTATACCAGACCTCAAACTATACTACAGAGCAATAGTAACAAAACAGCATGGTACTGGCACCAAAATAGACATGTTGACCGAGAGTACAGAATTGACGACACAGAGATAAACCCACACAAATACAGTTATCTCATATTATACAAAGGCACCAAAAACATATTGGAGAAAGGATAGCCTCTTCAACAAGTTGTTCTGGGAAAACTGAAAATTCATATGCAACAAAATGAAATTAAGCCCCTATCTCTCACCATGCACAAAATTCAACTCAAACTGGATTAAGGACCTWGGAATTAAACCAGAGATCCTGCTTCTAATAGAAAAAAAAAAAGTCATTATATCATTATGTCAGATTAGGCCCTGACTTCCATAATAAGACATAGCTTTAGAGTTAATAGCAAGAATCAATAAATGGTATGAATCAAACTAAAAAGCTTCTTCTCAGCAAAAGAAATAATCAGTGAGGTGAATAGAGAGCCTACTTTTGGGGAGCAAATTTTTACTCACACATCAGATAGAGCACTAATCTCTAGGATATATAAAGAACTCAAAAATCTTAACACCAAAAAAACAAATACCCCAATCAATAAATGGGCCAAGGAACTAAACAGACATGATATATAATCAATCAACAAACACATGAAAAAATGTTCAAGAGAAATGCAAATCAAAACTACTGTAAGTTTTCATCTCACTCCAGTTAGAATGGCAGCTATTAAGAATACAAACAGGGCTGGGGATGTGGCTCAAGCGGTAGCGCGCTCGCCTGGCATGCGTGCGGCCCGGGTTCGATCCTCAGCACCACATACCAACAAAGATGTTGTGTCCGCCGAGAACTAAAAAATAAATATTAAAAATTCTCTCTCTCTCTCTCTCTCCTCTCTCACTCTCTCTTTAAAAAAAAAAAAGAATACAAACATCAAAAAGTGTTGGAGAAAGGCACACTCATACATTGCTGGTAGGACTGCAAATTGGTGCAATCAATATGGAAAGTGGTATGGAGATACCTTGGAAAACTTGGAATGGAAACACCATTTGACCCAGCTATCCCCCTCCTCAGTTTTTACCCAACACTGATGTTTATAACAGCACAATTCACAATAGCTGAGCTGTGGAACCAACCTAGGTGCTCTTCAGTAGTTGAATGGATAAAGAAACCGTGGTATATATACACCATGGAATATTACTCAGCATTAAAGGAGAATAAAATAATGGCACTTGCAGGTAAGTAGATGGAGTAGGAGAATATCATGCTAAGTGAAGTAAACCAATCCCAAAAAACCAAATGCCAAATGTTTTCTTTGATATGTGGATGCCAATCCATATGGGGATGGGGGTGGGGGGGCAGCRTGTGAGGAATGGAGGGACTTTAGATAGGGCAAAGCAGAGGGAGCAGAAGGGAGCGGGCAGGGGAATAGGAAAGATGGTGGAATGAGATGGACATCATTACCCCAAGTACATGTATGAAGATACGAATGGAGTGACTCTACTCTGTGTACAACCAGAGACATGAAAAATTGTGCTCTATATAAATTGAAATGATCAGCATATCAAAGAAAACATATGGCATTTGGGTTTTGGGGATTGGCTTACTTATTAATTGAAATGCATTCTGCTGTCATATATAACAAATTAGAAAAAATAAATTTTTTTTTAAAAAACCTGGTTCATATGTAGCCAGATACAGTGTTACAAGCCTGTAATCCCAGCAACTCAGGAGGCTGAGGCAGGAGGACSGCCGGTTCAAGACCAGTCTCAGCAAATTAGTGAGGCCYTAAGCAACTTAGCAAGACCCTGTCTCAAAACAAAACATTATAAAAGAGCTGAGGATGTGACTCAGTGTTAAAGTGCCCTGGGTTCAATCCCCAACGCGCGCGCGCACACACACACACACACACACACACACACACTCACCCCAGTCCACAGGTAAAACCCTGCTGACCAGCAGGAGCACTTGGCCCTGAGCTCAGGACAGGACAGTACCTCTTCCTTTTCGTGCAGCATGAGATGTGCCTTGAGGCTGGCCACCCGGGAGAACTTCTTGTTGCACACGGGGCAGGTGGGGTCGTCCCCATTGTGGGTGCACTTATGGAGAGTCAGGTTGAACTCGACGTTGAACGTCTGCGGACACTGGTCACATCGATGTGGCTATTTAGAGAAAAAAGTAAAGAAGCCACTGAAACCCAACCTTTCCACAAATATGTGTTCAATTAGTGTTTCTAAACAGCAGCCAGCACCAATCCAGACCTTTTCCAAACACTTCTCGGCTGCACAGGGACCTGTGTCAATAGATCCAGAGGGACACAGCAAAGCCACTGCCAGGACAGCAAGGACGGCAGAACAATGGCACACACAGACAGCAATGGGGGTGAAGTGCCTGCAGATGTGCCAGTCACAGTCTCAGCACTGGATAAGGAGAAGCTCCAGCCCAGCAGGCAGCACCCTCCCCTTCCTTTCTGAGCACTCACGCTGCCAACAGAGCCACCTCTAGCACAGTAAACCCACACTTGCCTTTCCAAACTGCCAGAGCTGCTTCCCAGGGACAGAATTCCCCCAGGGGTCACAGAGCCCGACTTCCCTCTGTGCCACACCGAGCTCGGCCAGAAGAGCCTGAGGCAGCCCTCCCGTGGCCCAGGACCACCCAGGATCCTGGTCCCCACAGTTCACCAGCTTACACTGCCCCACCACAAAAGAATCAGCAACCACTTTTTAGCTGTGACCACCACTACCTTTCCAACCGTCAGGCAAATCCTTCCATGACTACACAGAATCCTTGGCACACCCACAAGGGGATGGTACAGGGGTTGGGTTGTAGCTCAGTGGCAGAGGGCATGCTTAGCATGCATAGGCCCTGACTCAACCCCACCCACCAAAACCAACCAACCAACCCACCAGGCCTGACAATGCACACCGTAACCCCAGCCACTCAGTCTGAGGCAGGGGACCACAGTTGCACGGCCAGCCTGGGCAACTTAGAAAGACCCTGTCTCAAATTTTTAAAAAAGCACTGGGTTATGGCTCGTGCTTACCTCATGTTCAAGGCCCTAGTTTCAATCCTCAATATTGCAAAAATCAATCAATCAATCAATCAAACATCTAGAATGCCTTTCAAAAGCACATAAGGGTAAAACTTCCTGCTGCAGAAAAACATTTAAAATACACCAAATCTGCACTTAGTCACATTAGATATTGAAACTACAGAAAAAAGTCATATTTGATAAATTAAATTGTTCACTTATAAATAACTTCGATGCACTCATTCACTATGACAATCTCTTAAGAAGATGCCAAAGTGTTCAGACAGTATAAAGCGTTCTATGACTCAGGAGCCTGGTTTTTACGTGCCGACTCTCAGCAGCCCTGCAGCTTCAGGCCCACACACCTTGTCGTTCCGCTCATGATCYCTCATGTGGCGCTGGAACTGAGCCTCTCTCGGGAAGGACAGCAGACAGATCTCACATTTGTGGAAGTTTGGAGTTGGGCAGTCATCGTCGATGTTCTCCGCGTTCAGTGGTAGAATCCCATCTACACAATTGTGCACATACAGACAATAGATACCAGGTGTTATTCTCATTACATAAACAAAATGAAATTATTTGATTATTATTTTAAAACCAACCTATACCAGAGATTTACAAAAGATTTGAGAGGAAATTAATAATGCACAAATTTTTTACAGTGAACTTGTTTTAAAGTTAGAAATGAGCAATCTGAGATAGCTGACATACAAGAGAAGAGAATTATCATAAGATTTCTTTAGAAACCTGCAACTAGTTTCCTGTGGCTTGAAACCATGCATGCTGGTCTCGAAGGTTGCTATGGTTTGGATGTGAGGTGTCTCCAAAAGTTCATGTGTGAGACAGTGCATGAAGGTTTAGAGGAGGAATGATTAGATTACAACAGCCTTGACCCAATCATCGAGTGGATCCCCTAACAGGGATTACCCAGGTGGTAGCTGAAGGTGGGTAGAGTGTGGCTGAAGGAGGTGGGCAGTGGGGATGTGTCCTTGGGTATATACTTTGTTTCTGGTGAGTGGAGTGTCTCTGTGTGTCTGTTTTGTCTGTCTCTGTGTGTCCCCTTTCTGGTCACCATGTGAGCTGTTTTCTTCCACCACACTCTTCTGCATGATGTTCAGCCTCACCGCGGGCCCTGAGGAATGGAGCCTGCTATCCAATGATTGAGACCTCTGAAACCATAAGCCCCCAAATAAACTTTTCCTCCTCTAAAATTGTTCCTGTCAGGTCTTTCAGTCACAGCACGAAAAAGCGGACAAAGGCCATAATGAAGCTTCTTAAACTTYACAGACCCACTTAATTTCCTTTTAATCCCTAGGGACCATAAAGCAGTCACCTCTAAATCACCTTGAGAGGCATCAATAATCCACACTGTTTTTTCAATCACTCTGTAAGCCAAACTCCAGCAGAAGCACAAAGCCTTTAGATGCTAATTCTCCAATTTGACCTATCTCTAAAAACTGCTGCAAAGCAAGATTAAGTCAAAAAGAAAAGGCTCTGTCCTCTCAGGGGGCCRGCGTCCAGGGAGTTAAGGGAAGCGGCAGCTTAGCCAATCCTGCTCTCACCAAGCCTCCTAAGGAGTCGCTCAGGTAAAGCTATAAACTTTAAGGTAGCCTCCAGCAAGAATGAATACAGCAAAGAATATCCAAGAATAATCACAAGATTTGTCAAGAATGTCACAAATCCCCACTACTCTTCTCTAAGACAAGTAAATATACTCCATGTCTTAAAATTAGGATATAAATACATAAAGCACCTGAACTGCATAGGCACTAAATACATCCCATGCAACTCTGCATCAAATTTGATTCCAAAAATTGGGATCTGAGAAAACTTGGGTTCAGGAGGGGCTCTGCTCCTTCAGAGATGGGACAGCACAAGCATGACACCTTTCTCACAGCCCTGCACACTCCCAGGGGAGAGGACAACCTCGCAGTCCCCTGATGCCAAGCCTCCTGCCCTGGGCAGAAACCTGCCTGTTAGCAAGGATAGGAGGTGTGTGCAGCGGAGGTGGGCAGGGGCAGGTGGGGGGACAAGAGCAACTAACTCTTCTGCAGATCTTTAGGGTAAAGGGCAAAGTCAAGCTTTTAGAAATATTAATGTTCCAGGTGAAAACACTATGCAAAGCAGTAGGAGAATCCTCAGAAAACTGGGAATGGAGCCACCATTCGACCCAGTTATCCCACTCCTCGGTTTATATCCAAAGGACTTAAAGTCAGCACACTACAGGGACACAGCCACATCAATGTTTACAGCAGCTCAACTCACAATAGCCAAACTATAAAACCAACCTAGGGGTCCTTCAGCAGACGAATGGATAAAGAAAATGTGGTGGGTACTCAGCTTTAAAGTAGAATGAAATGATGGCATTTGCTGGTAAATGGATGGAGCTGGAGAATATCATGCTAAGCAAAATAAGCCAATCTCCAAAAAACAAAGGCCCAATGTTTTCTCTGATATGCAGATGCTAATTCACAATGATGGCGGGTGGCTACAGAAAAATAGAGTTACTTTAGGTAGCGGAGAATGAAGGGTGGGGGGTACAGGGGTAGGAAGGATAGCAGAATGAATCAGACATTATCACCCTCTGTACATATATGACTACACAACCAGTATGATTCTACATCATGTACCACCAGAAGAATGAGAAATCGTACTCCATTTATGTATGATGTGTCAAAGTGCATTCTACTGTCATGTATAACTAATTTATAATAATGTATAACTAACTAAATAATAATGTATAACTAACTAAAACAAATTTAAGAAAAGAAATATTAATGATTCAAAAGATCAAAATTTCATACATTAAAAAAAAAAAAAGGTCCACTGCTGGGTAGATTGTCACATGCCCAGTAATCCCAGCTGCTAGGAAAACTGAGAAAGGACAAAGGCAAGCTCTTCACAAGTTCGAGGCCAGCCTCAGGAACTTAAGGGTCTCAACATCAAATTTAGAAAGGGCTGGRGTGTGGCTCAGTGGTAGAACACGTGCACGTGGGAGGTCCTAGTTTCAATTCCCAGAAAGTACCACAAAAAAAAAAAATAATAAAAAGTCTACTGAGGAAGGATTTTACATAAACTTGATTCTATTTACTCTAAACTATGTCCAGATAGAACAAACTGAAACTGTCTGTACTAAACTGTTTATGAATCCACAGGCCCAAATAAAAGGATTTGGGGGACTGCATCAATGGATGTTATTCCCCTCAGAGAAGTCTGTAGTGACGGTAAGAATACTAAGAAGCGGGAAGTACAAATGTGTTTAAATTTGTTTTAAAAATTCAGTAGCATTTTAACCTAAAAGCTAGATACAGCAGTAAAAGGGACCCTCAACTAAATTTCTAAAATGCAAAATTAAAAAGCTATCTCCAGATATAGAATAAAATAATTTTCATAGCTGTGATGAAACTTCTTAATGTATTACCAAAGATGATCAGGGATTTAATTGCATGTGACAGATAAGAAACCTAAGTGACATGGAACAATCCATTAAATTTGAAAATGCTTCACTTAAAAACTAAGACATTTCCAGAAAAAAAGTATCTTAAGAAGTAAGATTTCCCATTTTTAACAMAGTTCAAGACATAATCAATGGTGTCTTCAGCAAGTCTCTTCTTTCAAATGGTAATGATATAACATTAATTTGGCTTAAAGACAAAATAATGATCTAATTAAAATTAAAGWACGACTGGAGAAGAAGAGAAGCAAGCATGCTTTAGTTTGCACCCTGAACATAAACTAAAACCCAGAGCCCGCTCGACCCGCCTGCCTGGGACACACCTCAGTAGTGTGGCCAGTCCTGCTGGTGGCTTTTCAGCCCAGGCCTCCTCTGGGCTGAGATCTGCTGTCTGTGTGGCCCTGACTCCCTTCTGCTCAGTCCACCCTTCCTGGGCAGTGTTCTAGGCCTAGCAACATCTTTCCTCCATCCTGTCTTTAAGGCCATTCCAATTTCTGTCCCCAAAGAATCTGTGGTCCACAAAGAGGTCTATCAATGTCTCTTACAGTGTGATGTGGGGTCTTAACCCAGAGGAGGGCCTGGGGGCTGCAGGAGACCCCAGTGTCCTGCTGAAAGGCATGCACACAAGTTGAGCCTAGAAACCTTGTTCTGGGTTCTCTGCAGCCACGGAGGCTGTCAGGYCCCTTCAGGGACCAATAAGCTAAGGCAGCAGAAATGAATGGCAGTCTCACTGTGGCCCACCCTCCTGAAGACCACTGCATCTTCTATCACAACTAGGATGGGATCCACTGTGTTCCCACACACTCAGTGTGCGTCACCCGTAGGGGACCACCCTCCCCCACCCCCCCCCACCCCGTCCCTGGTGGTCACTACTCTACCCCAGGTCGACTTGGTGCCGGTCCTCTGCACCTGCTCACTTCACTTCAGCGGAGTCCTCCAGTGCCATGCGTCTAACTGCAAATGCCAGGGCTGCTTTCCGCGATGGCCGAGTCACACTCGKCAACTGTGCGTCCCTTATGCAGGCTGCATTCTCAGACAGCAGCTACCAGAGGAGCCTCGGGGCAGAGGGTCCTAACGTGCCACCAGATGTGCACCTCTGCCACGTCCCTTACACACACACAATCACTGAGCCACTGTCCGACCTGAGAGTCCCTCCAGAGCAGCACTGTTCAGTCTGTGCTCCTGCCCCCGCGGCGAGACAGAAGGGACCACTGAAGATTTCACTGCTGGGGACTGGTATGTCAATTCCTGGACAGTGTTTCCACACACTCATTTGGCAAACAAAAACATGACCATTGGTGGCTTTCATTATTCGCCTTTCTGCTAATATGGGCTCTATATTCACCATCAAGACTAAACAAAAACTACACAGTCACCAGAAAGATTTAAGTAAYTTTGACTTTTTAAAAGTAATTTAAAGTCTACTTTTAAAGTTAATTTAACTCTATGAAAATACCGACCTTAAACAGTGTATCTTGGAGTCGGGAAGAACCGTGAGACGATGCTCCCTGAAGCAGCAGGTCCTGAGCCTACCAATAACTTAGAAAGTGTCCATCTCCAAGACGCTCACTTGCTGCTCGAGGACCACCCTCAATCACATAATGCCACAGCCACCTCCTGCAGCATCCTAGGGTCCTGGGTCTAACAAGCTACCTTCAACTCCTTCTTCTCCCCATGCCAGGCCACCGGCTGAATCCCTGCCTCTTGTCCCCAACCTAAAGGCACCACACTGGCCTTTTTGTGATATGATGCCATGTTCCAACCAAACCTGCTACATTCAGAGCACAGCAGGGATTAACTCAAGAAAAACTCTGTGCAGTTAAGATCTCGGTCATCCACAGATCCTTACATGTTCTTAATGTTAAAATGAGAAATAACAGCTCTAAATTCTAAGCAACCAAGCTAATCCCCAGAYTGGCCGACGCTGACTTTGTTTTGAACATGTTTTCTAAAGCACGGCTCGCTTCCTCTCTCTGCTGACACTATGCACTACACTGGCTCCTACCCTGTCCCACAGTCCATCCTTCCTCCAGGACACCAACCTCATCCTGCGGTGTGCTGCCACCCGCTCACCCGAGTGTTCTCCATCCCCAAGAAAGCCCAGGAGTCGCAGGTCACCATTGCTACTGGAAATCGCTGTCACTTCAGGTGAGCTCTACCATTCTTTCTCTTCTTAATTCCTTTCTACTTTCTCTTTTTCCATTTCTGCTCCTCCTCCCAGACTGGTCAGCTTCCCAAGTCTTTTGCTTGACTTTTGTAGTGCTGGGATTTGAACCCAGGGTCTTGTACAAGCTGAGCCATGCCTCAGTGTCCCGCATTGTCATCATCTCCTCCCACCCCCCAGGGCAGGACATCATCAGGTAAAGTTGACTGTTAGTCCTTGCTCCTCAGCGCTGTTTCTCCAAACCTTCACAGACCTGGCACGCAGCACGTGCCCAACGCCTGATAAATATCTAGAGATGGGAAGAGCTAATGAATTGGGTGTCTGAAGCTCCCGAGACCAATACCTCTAAGAGCTCCTAATTTTAGGCAGCAGGGTCTTCCCTCTGTCTCAGGATTCCCTTAAAACAGAATTTCCTGCTTTCCTCTCCTGCTAACTCTCTCCAGGAGCCAAGTGAAACCCGCTGCCATGAGAACCTCAGAGGCCAAAACACTGAGAGGTTTGCAGCCTAAGCACCACCTGAACTTTGTTACCTGTTTTGTCTTTGAACATCTCTGCTCCTAAGTGGGTACTCATGTGGAAATGAAATGCAACACAGAATAATAATCCCCCAAAATAGGGTGAGTCATATGGTCCCTGCTCTTGTATAGCTCAGAAACTAAGTCCCCAGAAAGACTGAACCACTTGGTCAAAATCTTGCAACCAACCAGTGGCAGAAGGAGGACATTTTCAATTACTATTCCAGGCTCCCTCCTGATCAAGGACAGTCCCCTCTCCTCTTGAGCTGACAGCCCAAGACCCCAGTTTCCACCATGCCAGGTAAATAGAGACGAATCTGATTTTACCTGCTGGTTGCAGTACCTCAAGGTGCAACCCCAGGCCACACAGGTCTTTCAGCCTAAAAGACTCACAAAAAGCAGTGCCAGAGGGCCCTCGTCAGAAGCTCCAGCATGTACACAAACACCTGTCTTCCAAAACGCCAGTGTTTACTGCCATGATGAGCCAGAGCAAAGATGATCAACTGGAAAACTCACCCACCAGTCCTCCCAGTACTGGGAGCTTGCCATCKGAACCACAGGCCACAAGCCGGGCGGGCAGTGGACACCCACCCTGTCAGCATTTCCACCTGTGTGAATTCTCTTTTCCTGCCTCGTGCTGTTCTCTCCCCTCTCACCAAGAGATACAGTGACCTCCTTTGAAATACCTGCTTTCCTACTAGTGAATTTTGATTTCTCAGGAAAACTTTAAATGCAGGTAGATGTATATTCAGGTACTACACACATTACCCAAGTTTAACARAACACCAGCATGTTAAATCATAACCAATCAAAACCTGCCAATGTCTACATCTCGCCTTCCAGCTACAACAAGGAATTCTAGATCCCACCCGAGAGTAGCAGGCCTCGGGACAATAGCCCAGCGGCATGCTGCTGAGCCTGGTGCTTTCTTAATGATCCCACAGGGGTATGGTCAATTGGGGGTGCAGAGTTTATATCAAGGGGACAAGGATCCCACTCAAGAGCTTTAAACAGGGTGTGGCTGTCAAGGTATACCTGAAGAGATCATCCGGGCTGCCATGTGATGGATTCAAGGAGGAGACAACCAGCGGAGGTTAGTAAGAAGCTCCACCTTAGAGACGGAAAGACAGAGCAGACTGGAAATACAGTTCTGAGAAAGCGGCTACCAGGCTGGGTTGGGAAGTACTGTGGGGAACAGGAGAAACAACTGCTCTTAGCTTGGGAGCCTGGAAACCCAGTGGACAGTGCTGCCACCTGGCGAGATGGGACGTGCAGGCTCTTGTCAACGGTCAATGGGAGTTCACACTGTCTCTCCACCAAGCCCTTCCCATAGCAGAGACACTGCACCTTAAATTATTCTTGCTTTGAGGGGTGAGGGCTTCGAAAATGGGGCACTTTACCACTGAGCCATACCCAGAGCCCTTTTTGTTTTTTATTCTGAGACAGGGTCTAAGTTGCTAAAACTGGCCTTGAACTTGCAATCCTCCTGAGTCTCTGGGGTTATAGGCATGCACCATCATGTCCAGCTTGCACCTTATTCTTGGCATAAGTCATATTAACCAAAAAAAAAAAAAAAAATGAACAAGATAATGTCAAAGCAAAGCAGCAAAAGGAATGAGAAACCACCAATCATTGATACAAATTCTGACCAGCTACCCAGCTACCTAACACATACCTGTTACATCTGCCAGCATCACTCCCCACAATCCAAAAAGGCGACAATGTATATGAACTTCAATGACATTCATGGATACCAGGTCCACAACAACTCCCTAAATTACATGCCTGTTAACTATGTCAAGTGCAGCAGCAATAATAACTTCTGGTTTGCCATGTCTTGTTTCTAAGCTCACGAACTGATCCAAACAATCACCTTTCTCCATAAAAGCTTCAGAGGACACAGGGTCTCATTAAGTTGCTGAGCCTGGCTTTGAACTTGTCATCTTCCTGTCTCAGCCTCCCAAGTCACTGGAAGTATAGGCATGTGCCACCATGCCCAGCTTATCTGACCTTATTCTGGGTTCCTGCACTTTTGCTCCTAATTCAAGTTCTCTCATGAGCCTGTATTAACCCAAGAAAAGCCTGACACTGAGTCACTAGCCTAAGCTACCGGCTATATGAAGCTCAATGGAAGTCCTGGTGCAATCCACCGCTCCGGTACGAATTTCAGGCATGCATCCTCCCTCAGGCCTATGCAAGGTCTTTTCCACACACTAAGAGCCTCTCTGAATGTGCAAACTGTCCTGGGGCACTTCAGTACCACAGAGGTTGGGACTAAGTACTGGCAGGTATTTCCCAAGTATAGAAATAAATCACCATCACAGCACTCAAGCAGAGCTCCTTGCCTCCAGACCCATTAGCCTTGCACCTCAAAAACACCATGCCACAAGTGGAGTCCCTGTCCAGTAAAATCCAATTGTTCTAACCAAGCTGCCGTGAGGAGAAAATTAAACCCCCATGGCAGAGCAGAGACGAGGTACATTTGCATCACTTTCCAGAATCCGAGTTATATCACAAGCATAAGCTGAGGAACAGTTCCTGAGACCCACTGTGCGCACTAAGCTCTCGGCGCTCAGGTTCCAGGCCACAGAAATACTCCTGACACCTACTGTGTGCCTGCCAAGAATTCTGGGAGCTCGGGCCCGGGCCAGCCCGGCACCTACTAAGTGCGGGATCAGCGTCCCAGAGCGCAGGGCTGCGGGCCCGGGTCAGCCCGGCGCTCCCAGAGCTCGGGCGGCTGCGACAGTCCCGGCGCCCGCTGCGCGCACGCCCTGCGCTCCCGGCGCCCGGGGGCTCGGCTGCGGCCCGCGGGTCGCTCCGCCGCGCGGCCCCCGTCCYGCCTCCCGCGGCCGCCGCCCGCCTCCCCGCGGCCCGGGCCGAGGGCGGCCGCCTCCCACGCGGCGGCGGGGCGGGGCGGCGGGGCGGGGGCCGGGGTCGGGCGCGCGGAGCGGCCGCGCGGGCCGCCGCCCCCGCCGCCGCGGCGCCCGGAAAGTAGGCCCAGCGCGGAGGCGCCGGCCGCGGCGCCCGTATCCGTCCGCCCGCGCTGCGCCGCCGGCCATCGCGCCGCCGCCGCCGCTCCCGGCGCGCCCCGCGCCCATCCGGGCACTCGGGCCGCGGGCCTTACCGGAGTCGCCGCGCGCCGCGCCGTCCCGGGGCTTCGGGGGGCGGCCCCGCGGCATCGTCGCGGCGGCCACCCCTCTCTGGCGTCTCGCTCGGCGGCGGCGCGCACGCGCGGCACCGGCGGGGCGGCGGCCGGACCGGACCGGCCCGCCGGGCTCACGGGGCGACGGCGCCCGGACGCGCGGGCGGCAGCGCTCGCACCGCGCCGGCCTCGGCGGGTTCCATGGCCCGCGGGCCGCGGCGGGGGCGTTGGGCGCGGGCGCGGTGGGGGCGGGGGCGGCGCGGCGCGCATGCGCGGCCCGGCGGGCGGCGGCGTCACCTGCCGGTCCGCGGGCGGCCGGTGTCCGCGCGTGGCCTGGGGGTCCACGGGCCCGGGGCCCTCGGGGTGGCCCTCGGGGTGGCCCTCGGTGGGCACGGGGACCAGGAAGGCCTGTCCCCCCAGCGGGCACGTAGACCTGGGAGGCCGGTCCCTCCGCGGGCAAGAGAACCAGCGAGGCCTGTCTCCTCTGAGGACACGGGGGACCTTGGAGCCGGACCCTCAGCGGCCACGAGGACCACAGCGGCCTGTGACTCCGGAAACAACGGGACCGTGGGGAGGCCTATCCATCCTTGGCATTGGGTCCGTGGGGTGAACCATCCTGTCGGTGGGTATTCGGGGCCCCAGCTCAGCCCATTCTCAAGCATCAGGGCCCATGGCCTGATTAGGCTCTGAAGTGTGGCCCGCCAGTGGCATCATCCCAGCCCCTTGCCAGCTTGTCCCTAAGGTATTGGAGCCCTATGGAGACACCACAGGTTGAACCAAGGGTGGTTTACGTTCCAGGCCTGTATCCTGTGTTCATTTGGGTTTACATACATTGGTTTGATTCCAGGAAAATCTCTGCTGAGCACCTCATCTTCCTGCAGCATTTCTGGATGCCTCAGACAGCGTCATTGCCAAACCATCCTTGCAAGGGCAAAAGCCTTGGAACTTAAATGCATCCAGATGGTGGACCTTGGACCTCGGAGGACATAGCCAGAAGTCAGTGATGTTTCCTTGATACATTAAATGTTAATATGTTAAAACTTAAAGAGTTTCAGGTGTGTTCATCCTGCATTTTTTGGTGTGGCCCAGTCATTCCACTAAGTGATGTGCCTGCAGGGCAACAAAGTATTAGGCCAGGTTAAGAGTTAAAGATCAGCTGGGTGCTGTGGCCTACACCTGAAATCCCAGCGCTTGGGAGGCTGAGACAGGAGGATAGCAAGTTCAAAGCCAGGCTCTGCAAAAGTGAGGTGCTAAGCAATTCAGTGAGCCCCTGTCTTTAAATTTGAAAAATACAAAATGGGGCTGGGGATGTAGCTTAGTGGTCCAGTGCCCCTGAGTTCAATACCCAGTACCCCCCCCCTCAAAAAAAAAAGTAAATGATAAATGACCAGAGAATAACCATTTGTTCAAGGAAGTCAGAAGCAGTCTAACATGATGTCAGAGGCTCAGCAAAGTTAGTTCAAAGCAATAGACAATGACTACTCTGAGCATACCAGGGTGTTACAGGGGAGTCAGAAGTAAGAACAATCCACTGGCCAGAAACTTGGAAGGGCAAAAAAGACAAAACCAGTAATAAGTTGTAACGAGGTTTTTAAAAGTCCAGTAGAGAATTTTGAGAAAGCAGGACTAATTGCCATAGAAAAATAGGAAGGATGCTGTTTTAACTATATCTTAAAAAAAGGTTTGCATTTTAACAGAGTTGGTTAGGAAAGATCTTTTCAGGTGAAGACCAGTCAAGAAGGGAAGCTATGTGTCAGCTGCTTTATGTATGTCCATATATGTTTCCATATAGTCATACAATTCCTGAAAAACCTCAATTAGACAGATAAGCTTCTCATCCTTAAAAAAAAAAAAAAAAGCAAGAAACCAGAGGTTATTTCCAAGATCTGCCAGCCAGTGAATGGCAAATGATGATTGTTTTATCAACATCTGTTTTTGAGTAGTGCTGTGTGCTTTTATATAAAACATCTCTAATCCTTATAGCAGTTCTGCAAGATGCCCTTTTACAGATGAAGAAATTGAAGTTGAAAGAGGTTAAGTAATTTTCTAAAGACAAATCCAGGGTTCAGAATCTGCTTGCCTCTTCATTCCTTGCTATTTCTAATTGCATCAAAGCAGGAATCTTAGCCAGGTACAGTGGCACACGCCTGTAATCCCAACAGCTGGGAAGCTGACGCAGGAGGATCCATAGATCAAAGCCAGCCTCAGCCAAAGTGTGGTGCTRAGCAACTAGTGAGACCCTGTCTCTAAATAAAATACAAAATAGGGGTGGGGATGTGGCTCAGTGGTAAGTGCCCTGAGTTCAATCCCTGGTACCCACCTCCCTGCAAAAAAAAAAAGGAGGAATCTTAAGTTTGGGCAAAATCTGAATATTATTTCCATATGCATATTAAGGCTCAAGTAGCATGTAAAGCTGAGAATAAAGGTTAGAGGCAAATCATAAAAACTTGGACATACGGGCTGGGGATGTGGCTCAAGCGGTAGCGCGCTCACCTTGCATGTGTGCGGCTCGGTTTCAATCCTCAGCACCACATACAAGCAAAGATGTTGTGTCCACCGAAAACTAAAAAATAAATATTAAAAATTCTCTCTCTCTCTCTCTCAAAAAAAAAAAAAAAAAACTTGGACATATAAATTAATTTGCATTATATGTGGCAACCAAGGGTTGCCATGAAGAAATAATCCTACATACCTGCAAAAGGGGTATGGCTGAAGAAAATGCAAATTCTTGCAAAGCAATTTTACCAAAGTAACTTCAGTAACTACACACAATGGTAACTTGACAGAAATTTGAAGACACTGCTTTTAACACTCATTAGGAAGAAAACACATTATCCAAACCACAGAATTGTCTGATTTTCTGGGTAACGGAATCTTGCAACTAATTATGCTCTCCTCTCTTCTTCAGCTAAGGAGCTTGAAATCCAATTTTAAATTCACCTTTTGTAACTAGAGGGTTTGTTGGATGCATTCCGCTACTTCCTCTGCCTTTGGTTTTTCTGTTTTTTCCTTTCAATATAGTTTCCTCAGCTATTTATTCACCCTGATAGGCATATACTTTTGTAAATTGCTTCAAATTCACAGAACAAAATGAGATTTAAATTCAAACACAGATAATGCAGCCGTGGGGATTATAGGCATGTGCTACTGCATCAGGCTAAGATTCCTGCTTTGATGCAATTAGAAATAGCAAGGAATGAAGAGGCAAGCAGATTCTGAACCCTGGATCTGTCAGAGCAGAGTGAAGGAAAAGCAGAGGCTCAGCATGACAGAATAGGCAGCTCTCCAGTGAGAACACAGGTACCATCTCATTTAAAGATAGTGTTGCTGGCCACAGTAGCCACGCCTGTAACCCCAGCAAAGAGTGAGCCTGAGGCAGGAGGATTGCAAGTTCAGGGCCAGCCTCAGCAGGTTAACAAGGTCCCACACAACTTGGCAAAGCCCTACCTCAAAACAAAAACGGCTGGAGATGTGGCTCAGTGGGTTAGCACCCTGGATTCAATTCCCCAGTACCAGAAAAAAAGGCAGTATTGCAAGAACCTCCCACATGGTTTATTTGGCTGTACCAATGTCCAGAAAAAAACTGACCCCTGAGGGGCTGGGGATATAGCTCAAGCGGTAGCGCGCTCGCCTGGCATGCGTGCGGCCCGGGTTCGATCCTCAGTACCACATACCAACAAAGATGTTGTGTCCGCCAATAACTAAAAAATAAATATTAAAATTCTCTCTCCCTCTCTCTCTGCCCCTCTCTCTCTCTTTAAAAAAAAAAAAAAATGACCCCTGAGCTGCACCCATCATCCATTTCCTCCTTATAACTGTTGCCAGTGGCAACTGAGTGTTTCCTCTGAGCCTTTTCCCTTCTCCACTTGTAGGCCCATTACCTACTGTGGTTGCCACTATCATGTCCTAACCTACCACCAGAGGACACTCAAGAGTCACAGAGGGAAAAGGAAGATGTGTGTGGGTGGGAGAGCTCTTCACTTTGMTCCTTAAGCCTCTGCAGCATGAGAATGTCATTCTGGAGCCACAGGCATTAGTGGCCTGGAAATGAAGGCAACCAGAGAACGCACAGCTCAGATGTGGGTCTGTCGCCACTGGAGCCCTGAACCAGGTGGATCCCAATCCTGTCTGTGTACTTTTCAGTTATGTGAGCCAATGAGAGCACTCAAGGAAACCCAGATTAAATCAAGGTCTCTGCCTTTGGCATCCAGTCCCAACTGAAGTTACTTTGGTGAAATTGCTTTGGAAGAATGTGCACCATCTTCAGCCACACCCCTTTCGAAGCTTTGTAGGATTGTTTCTTTGTGGCAACCCTTGGTAGAAGAATGTTGGAAGGGTTTCTCTGTGTTGTGGCCCAAGACCTCTTTCCTAAATATCGGATGTATTTCTAACGGCATTCTCAGTATTCCCAATTGCATGTTGCATCAAACAGAACCAGAATAAAGCAGGTGTATTTAGCCCACCACATCCTTGTTCTTCAAGTTCTCCTATGAAAGGGGATGTGAGTACCACTAACACGCTGCCATCCCACCTCCCAAGACCCAGGAGAGATCCCTTGCCYGGCTGGTTTACTGCAGTGCAGCTAGCATTCAGTAAACTGCATAAACTCCAAGTGTATGGTTTGACAAGTCCTAACCTGCACAGGGTTAACCATCACCATGTGAAGAGAATACATCTGTCACCCTGAAAGGCCCTCCTGCCTCTGCCACCTTTCCTCCTACCCCCCAAGCAGTTGCTCATGATTCTAGATGAGTTAGATAATGTCTGGGAATCATTCTTGCTTACCCTTCTTTACTGCAGCCCTCAGTCACTTCACCCAAATCCTGTCTGTCTCAATAGTGTGTCTTCTCTCTGCCTCATCAGACTTGCAGCCAGGCACCTGCTTAGCTTCAGTCAGTGTGCCTCCAGCCGCACAGGGCTTCTGCCTGTGTGCACAAGCCGCATGTACTGCCCCCTGCAGGAATTCCCAGATGTGTTCTTTGTGCGCCTGGAGTAAACCCAAATCAGTTATAATGTAGTATCCTGATATATGACTATATTTTGTTTGCTAGAATTTTGTTGAAAGTTTGTACAGTTGTAATCACAAATGAAACTGGCTTTCACTTTCCTTTTTCTTGGTGTCTTTGTTCTGCTGTCTGGATAATGCTAGCATCATAAAACAAACTAAAAAATGTACCATTACTTTTACTCTAAGAGTTCTCAAAGATTGGAATTGTACTTCTTTATTTTTTTTTTCTTTTTTTAAAGAGAGAGTGAGAGAGGAGAGAGAGAGAGAGAGAATTTTTAATATTTATTTTTCAGTTCTCGGCAGACACAACATCTTTGTTGGTATGTGGTGCTGAGGATCGAACCCGGGTTGCACGCATACCAGGCGAGCGTGCTACCGCTTGAGCCACATCCCCAGCCCCTRTACTTCTTTATTTTTTGAGTCACTTCTGAAGTCATGTGATACTGGAGGTTTTTCATGGGCACATTTTTAATTACAGATTCAATTTCACAATATTTAATGGACAGTTTTGGTTTTTTTTAACATGTTAGTGTCAGTACTTTTATAGATGTGTCATTTCATCTGAGTGTTCAAGGGCAGTAGTGTGGCACTCCGGACACTGCCCTTGTTCAGCGCATTTGACCCTTGGGATAAGTAGAAACGTCCCCTTCCATCCTGACCTTGTGTGTGCATTTGTGAGAGCTGATTTCAGATGTCGACTTGACTGGATTAGAAACACCAGAAACCTGGAAAAACATGCTTTGGGGTGTGTTGTGAGGGTGTTGCAGGGGAGGTCAGCATCTGAATCTTTGTGGACTCATGGGGAGACCACCCTCAGTTTAGGTGGGCACTATCCAGTCATCCAAGGCCCAGGAGAGAAAGAAACAGAAGGCAAATCAGTACTTTGCCCAGTGAGGTGGACATGCAGGTCTCTTGCCCCACACATCAGATATCCTGGCTTCCTAGTCCTTGGACTCCAGGCCTGGCACCAGCAGCCCTTCCCCAGTTCCCAGGACCATTGGCTCCCCTGGTCTGGAGGCCTTCAGACTTGACCAAGCC